AAAATATGAAGTAAAATGGTTTAGTTGGACACTTCACAGAAAGCTATGACACTTCATCTAGCTGCAAACATACTTCTTCAAAGAAACTGTGGTAGGTTAACTGCTGGCCAATCATAGAGAACTTTTTCTAGAAAAATACAAAACTCAGCACCAAATCTTTGCTACGAATGGTTAGCTAAACCAAATCCAAAGACACCTTCTACATTTATGCCTTATAGAGGTTATTTTTTGACCTGATAACGCAATGTATCCAAAACTATGCTTTCAAAATGAAAGAGCAACTATGCTATGATATTTATCCATAGTTTTAATGATATTTAAGATGTTTGTCCTCACAAGCTTAAACCTTCAGACCATTCTATACACATGACTGGACAAAGATCTTTCATAAATGGCAGTACAAACTTCCTAACAAATAAAACCAGGGATGGGGCAGAGGAAAGAGTTGGGAATGTTAAATAAAGGTCAAAATTACATTTTATACACAAATTTTTGAGACGCAGATTGAAGAGTAACAAGAATTGATGTTGGAAAAGAGATAAAAGAACAGAAAAACACAGCAGCAGATTAACGACAGGTGAATAACACAGTATATAAATGTTTATACAGAAATCAATGGCTGCAGAGAGCTAATGCACCATTCCCCTCTAGAGATCCAAGATAAAGAATAGAAAAGAAACCCTTGACTAAGTATCCCACAGCGATGCTCTTCAAATCTACAGTTTGCTTCAGCAGCCTGGATGCAAACATAAAACAACCAAATATAATATTCTTGGAAACCTAATTATATATATTGAAGAAGAGTTCATATCATAGAATGACACATTGACAGGATTCTCACAATACATACATTAAACTGCAGAAGATTAACTTATGCACAAGAGTAGCAGTGGAGGCTGTTCTGTAATTAAGCCTGCTGAGCTTCCCTAAATCTGGTTTCAGACACTTTTCTCTAAAGCACTCCTACAAAAAGTTATGAAATCAAAATAAGATTATAGGCAGGCTGAAAGCACAATTTTCCCAACAATATTTAATCATAAGCTGTTGCTGATCTATGATCTCCTAGAAATAGAGCTTTCCAGTACAGCTTTCAAAAATCTCTTAACATTGTAATATAGCACATCAGTCCACCATCTCAAAGAAAAGTCAACAAATAAACACATAAAATCTATTTTAATGGCCTTGCATGGACACTACCTATCACCCACAGCAAGCACCACATTAAGGCTTTCACATAGATTCTTCTTGCCTAAAGAGTATGGGGTGAATGACCTTATTCAGGTCTTGCGTTGCCAAACGACTCATCTTTCCATTACTAAAAGGCTCAATTTGGAATGCAGCGTCTAACAAAAGCTCCTGGGTCATTCCTATCCAGCCGCTACTAGGTGGAATGTACATGGGAAAACTGCCACTAAAAGCTTAACTGGGCTCCCAAACCCCAACACTCCTGCAGCCCTTCCAACCTAGCCATGCCAGGATTACAGAATACCACTTCTGTGAAAGCTCCTTAGTTGTTACACCCATGCATTACAGTATTTTGTATTTACTGGCTATTGCTTAACTCTCTTCATATCTACGAACTAAGAATTAGAGTGTGTTGGGAAGTTTCAGAATCTATGCACTTTAATAGTAAATTTACTAGCTATCACTAATCAAGACATCCAATGTTGTTGGTATTTTCATGCAGGTAATAAAAGAGCATAGAGTTGTCTAGCTCACCAAAACAGAGCAATGCTGTCAATATACATATATTTAAAGGTTTTTAAAAATGGAATGCATGCTACATTTTAGCCAGTTCAAGATTTGTATTGTTCCTTTAATATTATCTTGCAACCCACTCTTAATGAACATGCTGTCAAAAATCCCATTTTTCCCAAAGAGTTCAAAAAAATGCAACTGTATCAACTACTTTTAAAAGTCTAGAACACAGCACCTTGAAACTCCAAATGTATCACTGTAATTAAAAAGATGTGGCACTGCGTTTCTTAGACAAACAGACTGGGGAGAAGTAAATGTGTGAAAATGGTGATAAAATGATACAGGAACTTAAATTAACCTAGACTACTGGAGCAAACTGACAGCATCTTTCAACTGAATAAAACACAAAACCAAGGTATTTGTGTTTCATATCCAGAACTGCATCTAAAGCACTTCACCTAGAACGGCCAGCTAGTTTGCAGCAGTTTCACAGACAGACTTTAAGCAAGTAGTATAAAATATGTAAGACTATGATGTAAGGCAAAAATACCAAAACATGAGAAGAAATTAAAACCAAAAAACTTAATACAAGTTAAAAGAAGGAAAAAAAACAGAGAGAATTATGTTTAAGACAAGAAAGCAGAAAGTAGTAGTGTCTGTCTCCTCAGATTTCCTCCTTTATTCCTCTATATACACACAGAAAAATAAAATATAATCAGAGGACCACTGCAACAGATCTGAGTAATTCACCCATCCCAAATATTTAACAAATAGTTTCTGGGAAATTGCTAACAAACCTAATCCAGTACACTGCACACCCCTTAAAATTACTGGTATTTAGTCAAACACATTTTTACTCCTGCGAAAATCTGTGGTTCATCTTAATAACAATTTACAGTTCTGTAAAATAAATAAAAAGTGACCTAGCAATAGTGAGCAATGCAGTTAGAAATACTACATTTTCTTTGTATTATCTTTACCATTGGGTTGTGGGTTTTTTTTTTTTTTTTAATAGGGATTAATGTAAACCACAGATTACAGATTTTCTACAAAATACTCAAACTCTCAACATCACACTACCTCCTGTAAAAGAAACACTCAATATTATCTGCCTGCCAACAATATAATTTCTAACAAACAAATGTAAGACTGTGGAAGAAAATATGTTTCCATTGCCTTTTTTTTCTCCTGAATAGCAAGTTGTTTGAATAAAACCTTTTCAAAAATAATTTTAGAACTTCATTTTTGGTGCTTTCACTTTAACTATAAATACATATTCCTAATCTAACATTAACAAGAAATATTGCACTGTAAGATTGTAGTGATCATGTCTTCAGCTTAGTATTCAACCAAAAAGCAAGTCTCAAGTACAATACTCCTTGTAGGAGACAAGACATGAGAAAGTAACCCTGTGGAAAATTGCACGTTAATGCCTCAATGCAAAAAGGCTAGTATCAGACACTGCAAGAGAAAAACACCTCAACACGTTTCTTATTCTGCATGAGGCACACAAGACCTCTCTAATTTTAGGCTAATAAAAAAAGCGCATCAATATTAAAATGAATACAATTTAAAAACCACCCCAAAACACCACGCACTTCTGTAGATTATATTATCTGACAATACACCATAAACAAAGTAGCCATCACTCACTTGTCTGGGTTTTTTTCTATCACCTTCCTAATTCAGTCTTCTATAGAGACCACACAAAACCACCAACGTGTATCTTGTACTACAGGCTTAATTAAAAACAGAATTTGTGCAAATGTCTTAGGGTGAATAACCTGAATTCTTCTTAGACTCAGTGTAAGAAACAGCTATGCCTCACTTCTTTTACTGTCTCATTCTGTCTCGCTCATAAAGTGAAAGCCGTCTTCAAGTGCTGAAAACTCATTTAAAAATGTTATTAAAAAGCTGTAAAAACCAGGCTGTGACACAGTTTGCTCTCGATTCTACTTACACTTTGGATTATAGCACGCTAGATATATCCACATGCAGAATTGTCCAACATGCGACAGAAAAAAGAAAAAAAAGCATAATAGATTAACAACCCTCTCCCAACACCATCATAGGTAAGATGAATATAACATTTTTCTCCCAGACGACATAAGGGGAAATCTAAACAGGAACCCACAATAGCCGATCCTAGTGCAGCACGCTTGCAAACAACTACTGCTAACCCGAGGGGCTAAACCCGAAAACCCCACCCCTGCAACACTTGATACCCCCTAGAACCCACCGCCTGAAGGGCTCGGGGCGCTGTAAGGGCCATCAACCGGGTCCCTACCCCCCGCTCCCGGAGAGCGCTTGGCCAGGGACCAACATATCCTACAAGAAGTAACGGCGACAGCGCGGCCGGGACAGACCCCAGGCCAGGCCGACGCCGGGCTGCGGCAGGCCGAGGGCGCAGCCCCGGGGACCGACCGGCGGCCCCACGGCGGGAGCGCCGCTCCGTTCCGTGCCGTGCCCCGGCTCCGCTGGCCAGCCGTGCCTAGATTAGGGAAAGGAAAACGGGGCCGGCCCCCGGCCCCCCCCCCCCCCCCCCCCACACTCCCCAGCCCCCACAACATGCAGGTGCAGCCGGCCCCAACGGACGCGGCGCGCGCCCCTCCCCCCCCCCCCCCCCCCCACCGCGGGCGGGCCTGCCCGCTCGGCGGCGCGGCCGCCCTCCCTCCGCCGCTGCCCCCCGCTCTCCGCACTGCGGGCGCGGCCGACCGCCCCCCCCCCCCCGCCCGCCTCACCTCCTCCCGCCTCCGCCCGCCCGCACAGACGCCTTCCCCGGCGGGGCAGCGGCCTCCTTACCGCGGCAGCGCGGCCGGCGAGCTGGGGCCGGCGCAGCGGCGGCAGGCTCACGCACGAGGGGCGCTTAACCCCATCGCCAGCCCCGACAGCCGCCCGGGTTCCTCCTGCTGCCGCGGCGGAGAGAAAGGCCCGCCCCGCCGCGCCGTCGCCGCCAATAGTCGCGCGGGGCGCCAGTGATTAACGGCCGCGCGCGCCAATTAGCGGCGCGGCTGCCTCCCCCCCGGCGCGGCCCGCGAGTGGTGCCTCTTCAGCGCTTACGCCAGCGCAAGCCCGCCCAGAAGGCAGCGGCCAATCGGGGGGCGTCGCCGAGTTGACAGACGGCCGCCACCACCAACGAGAACCCCTCTTTTGGCGCGGAGACCGGCACCGTGTAACGCCCGCCCGCGGTGGGCAGCCGACGAGCGCTGGCAGCGCGCAGAGGGACCGCTCCCGCCGCTACTGACAGCCTGGGCGCCCCCTCCTCCGTGGCTCCCCTTTCCTCGGGCGGCGGTAACCCTCTCTTAGCCTTAATGCGCCCCAGCAGCTCCGCCGCCGGAGTGGGTACGGCCCATCCCAAGCAGCAGTACCCCCCCACCCCCGATGGGACTCCCCCGGCAGGCGCCAGAACAGCCCGAGGTGCCGGCGCAGGGCGGGACGGGAGCTGTAGTCCCGGTTTAGCCGCGCACCGCCCCCCCTTCGCCCCGGCTCCAGCCCTCAGCCGCTCTTGCCCCCCTCAACCTCTACAGCCGACGGCACCGCCTGGGGTGCTCCGTCCTGCGGGCCCTTCGCTTCACGCCATTCCGGCGCCTGCCACCCTCTCCGCCCAACCCACCCGCCCGCCCCTCCCGGAGCGGCTCTCTGCCGTGAGGTAACCGCGCCGCCTTCCTTCCCGCTTCCCCTCTCTACCCCGCCCACCATCCGAGCGAAGCAGGGGCCGGTACAAGGCACGGCCGGGCAGGAACATGCCGTTTAATTCGCTGAGGGTGGGGTAGAAAACGGAAAAGGAAAAACGGTCCCCGAGCCCGGAAGAGCTGCGCGCCCGGCGGGAAGCGCCCTACGCTCCCCCCCCCTCACTTCCTTTCCCCCCACCCGCCCTCAGGTTCCACCATTTCCGGGCGGCGCCGGTTTGAGCCCGCAGCCCGCGCAGCGGCGGGGCTGCCCCGGCTGGGACTCGCTCGGTGTAACGGGACGAGCTTCCAGGTGACTCTTGTGCTTGCTCAGCCTCCGGCTTGTGCCAGAAGGTCTCCGGTTGGGGCCGCCCCGGCAGCTGCTGCTGGGTTGTGGCAACCTGTGCTCCGGTAGTTCTGCTACCGCAGGGCGCTGATGGGTGCTGGGAATTGCGTAATTCCGAGGAAAAAAAAAAAAAAAAACAAAGCCCAAACCTTGCCCCTGGGCAGGTGTTAAGGTATCTCTTTTCCCCTGGCCTGTGGAAAAAACTTTTGGGTGCTACAGAGCTTTGTGATATCCTTTGTTCTGTCTGATTTTTTTTTTTTTTTTTATGGTAACGTTTTTAAAAATGCTGTGTTCTTGTGACTTGGGTAGTTTTAAAATTCTTTAATATGGTGGGAAAATGGTTGATAAATAAGTCAGCCACGGTCCCACGATTTTCTCAGAGCCTTAAATTTCCTATTAAGTTTTATTGAACATGCACTTGTGGAGCAGTTAAGACCATCAAGAGGAGATTTACGAAGGAAATGCTTGATGGAAATACTAATTTGTTTTAGGCATCTGCTACTGAGCTGCATTCAAAGGCTATACTTAGTGGCCTGTAAAAATAAATAGTGGGTTTATATTATTTTTATCATCTTGTGTTGACAAACAGCTATTGCAAAACTTAAATAGTCTTTGAAGATTTCATTCATTAGTCTTGCACACAGCCTTCCAATAAAGAAACATCTCACCTGGGGAAATACCCCCAACAGTACATACCTCTGGAGGGATAAGGGTCTGCAGTGAAATACAGTATGGCAGTAGCACTGACAGGCAGAATTCCGGATTTTTGAATTATTATTCTATTTTATTTTACTAGTATTTCCACTGCCTTTATCCCTTGGTGGTTACATACTTTTACAGATCATTTATTAATTCATTGAACATAATAGAAGTTGGAGCAGATTCCTTTGAAATATTGCTGATGTTATTGCTCTCGTGTATGAACAGTCTAATTGCTTGTATTTTTTAAAAAAAAGTTTCAATGCAGTTTTTTCACATGACAGCTCAGTTTTCTTAAAAGTTTGAGGGTCTTTCTCAAAAGTTTTCCTGGAAATTATAATTACTGTATAAATACGCTTATAGAACTTATTCTGTTGAAATTTAATTTTGAAAAATGGTGGAAACTGTACTACATCAACGAGTTTATAGGTGCATTGTTGTAGACCCTCTTCAAAAAAACTTCAGTAGACTTGAAAAATAAGACTCACCTTTGCATAAGATGTGTTGACTCCCACCAAATAGATGCATTTATCCTGGTGTTCACAAGTTCTACGATTCATGATTTTTAATTATTTTTATTCCCTATAAATGAATCATGCTGTAGTTCCGCAGGTCTTTCCCATTCCTGCTTTTAAAAGTTGGGGTCGTTTACCACTACCTAGTCCTGAGATACTAAAGCAATTTTAAATTAAAAGTTACTGGGTTTAGTAATTTGCTATATCATTCTGATTCCCTTTAAAACACTTGAGAAAATACCTTTTTTTTTTTTTTTTTTTTTTTTTTTTAACTCATAGAACTTCTGTAGCTGTATGAATTACGAGTGAAAAGTTAAGTCTCCACACCAAACCTTTTAGGTCTATTTTGTCTTAGAAAACTAAAGTTCCAGAGCTTGTGATCTAGAGGTGTGGGAAAGTTGATGGGATGCACAGAAACAAATGAGCAATCGTAGTTAGAGAAAACATGCACTAATCTTTCTCTCTTAGAGATTCTGAATCTGCAATGGGTAGGACAACAGACACAAACTGGTGTTCTGCTGCTCTGACTAGATTTTTTTTTTTTTTTAAAAGGCTATTTTTAGTTGTTGACCTTACTACAGAGGTGTACATAATTGATCTGTCTCAAAACAAAATATAAATGACCACTGCTGCCAAAGTCATTATACACAAGGCATCGATTCTCAGTATAATTATTATAGCAAATCAGTACAAGACAATTTGGTGCAATTAATTTCTTTCTCTGTGTTGTTTAATCACTGACCATTCTAATTTTCTACACAAGCAAAATAAATCTTTTGTAGGGTCAATATCCCTTTCATAGTGCCTTCTATAGCTTTGGATATCAAAAAATGGTGCAGCAGGTATGAATATAAACTGAATAGGGATTTTTATCACCTCTGTTTAGCCAGAAATCATGACAGAGACCTTTGAATCTTCAGGGCTTGATTCTTTGTATGATCGTTAGAAAGTGCATGTTTACAATAATGAAGTAAACTTCAAAGATTTGAGAAAGAGCTATGTAAGTGTTCCTTTAAGAAAAAAAAAAGTACACTTTAGTTATCTAAGTTCTTAAAACTCTATTCTGAAGTGCATGTTTTCAGGCAGTCATATTTTGAGCATCAAATATTTTATCTGAGGTATTTTTCACTTGCCATAAACTCCACAGTAATCAGCTGTGAGAGTGGTAGGTTATATATGCACAGAACATGGCGAAGTCCATCTTTGAAAGCTTGTGGTCCAAGTTAAAATAATAATGTAGATAAGGTAAATGGAGAGGACTGGAGCATAAAGTTGATAACTAGAAAAAATTTGGGGTAATGTGATTATGCAAATTACTTTGCCTTTCCAAGGAGCAATGTGTGGAAGGTTTAGTAACGCACAATTCATAGTGCTGTTTTGCCTTGTGCTCACGATAGTCATTGTATGTGTTTTTGTAATGGTCATTATTCACCACATGTGGACTTCTTTAATTATTCACCTATTCTATAATTAGTCACCATTCATTTCTTTAATTATTCACCTAGAGAAAAAAAAATAGACAAAAACATGTACATATTTGGTAGTTAGTACTTTCTGTGTTGCTGTTGCTGCTTTTTAAGATAGCTCTGCAAAGTCAGTTTTAACTTTATTAGTGACTGATGCAGAAGCATTTTTTATGGTAGTATTGCTATGTCCTGATGAATCATATATGCCTCCTCTAATTCAGATCTATGCTTCTGAAACTACATGTTTTTTATTTAATGTTTCAGTGAAAGAATCTTATCATAATCTAGTTCAACAGAAAGCTAATTATGTTAACATTTCATTCTCGTATTGTCACTTACAACAAGCTATGTAGCAAGCTGATCAGAAGTATATAATTTTCTCTGCTTTTATAGAATAGAAAATCATCACAGAAAATGAGTCAGAAATTTTCTTTAGGGGTGAATCACAGCACTGAGCATTGAACAGGTTTGTTGGGTCCACCAATCCTGCAGCATGCTTGTTTGAGGTTGACTTTACAGAAATGTTTTGTGTTTGTTTTTTTTTGCCAGCAGTGTTGAAGTACCTTAATCAACTTTTAAAGAAAAAAAAAATACTCTGTGGAAAATATTGTGATAGAACTATTGAAGTGATTATGATTGTTTTCTCAGCAGTTAGAGCTGAAATAGTTCTGTTTGCTCAACTGAGAGATGAAGTAGGTATTTACCAGAGCTTTGTGGCTTTTTTTCTGTGAAATGCATCTCTTGGGTATACAGGGCAACCCAGAGGCTTCCCTTCTTCTGTTAAGCAAAGTTCACTGATGGACTTGCACCAGAGAGCCGCCTTGATTCTGATCATACTACTTTTATCTGCTGTTGAATGTTCCAGAGGCCCAAGGTACAAGAATACTGTTTCATTAAAGACATGAGAGAGATTCCAGTTATAGAAATGGAGGGGGAGGGAAGCCTCAGTTGATAGTGCAATCACACTTAGATCACGCAGAATGTCTGGTTTGCAAAAGAAATCCGGATTTCCTTTCTCTATAACTAGCTATTTCATTGACATTCAGAAGGTATCCCTCTTTATCTTTGGATAGCTTAGGTCCTAGAAGATCTTTACTGAGAAGTCTGTAACAGGAGAAGGTTTAGCAGCACTGAGCTTGTCTCTTGTTAGGTTAGCACCTTGAGTGCGTGACCTGATACGAATCTAGGGAGAAAAGATCCTGTCTTCCTGCCGACAGTACCAGTTCTTCTGTGCCTTGATCATGCTGTTGGAAGCACAACAGCAGCCTCTCTCGAGCTGTGGAGTTCTTGCTGTGTGAATGACTGCAATCATCCAGTGAGTAAAATCAAGTGTTCAGACCTGTGAGTTACCTGTTTTTGAGAACAAGGTTGAAACCATGTTTATACAGAAGTCCTGAAGTATGTGTAAATACATGCACACGCATATCTGTGATTCCAGTTAGGATTGTTGTTTTCATACATGTGCAATAATATTTCTAGGGCTGTATATGTGGGACAAATAATAACTCTTCAAGAATATGCTTCTTAAGATAGGTTCTCTAGCAGCCAAGCCATGTAATACAAAATAGAACAAAGTCCATAGCAATGGTAAATACAACCCTTATGCCTCAACTTTGAGTGTTGCTCAATATTTTAAATCTAAATTAATTTTTTTCCCCCTCATTGTTCAGCAAAGCAGTATGTCAAAACATTTGTGGTTACAGACCGCTTCATTGTAGAAATGGTAGTAGATGCCCAAGAAGGTATGCACTCCAAGAAGAAGCTCTCCAATGTTACCCTGTCAATACTTTCACAATGACATTCTCACGGAACTTGACTGTAGGCTCATCTGCGGCATTTTCTTTCCAGTTCTCTGAATGTCTGTGATGTGTATCTTGATAGGTATGCCTGTAATTCGTCATTTCGCCATAAGAGCCGCACTCATTTTCTGTCTGAAGGTCAATAGTCTTGACTGGTGATGTACCAAAATCCTAATTTTTCTAGGGTTCTACAGCAGTTTGGTGGATTTCCAGAACAATTAAGTCCTTGCTTTTTTTCTTTTTTTTTTTTAACTTTTTTGTTTGTTTGTTTGTGAGGGAGTGGTCTATTTTTGGGGTTATTTTTTGTGTGTGTGTGTTTGTGTCCAGTTACAGACATTGTTGTCAAATGTACTGACAGTGCCTTTTTTTTTTTTGGTTCCCTTGACGTGACAAATTCCCGATAACTTCTTCCTGCAGCGCTTTCTAGAACTCCCTTCCTCCCTCTTTTCGCTTGATCTCCCTGACTTTAGGACAAAATTGACTGTCCAGCAGGCCAGGACCCAGCTGGCTCATCAGTGTGAGCGGTACAGCACGGAGGCAGCGAGTCCTGTCCCACAGCCTGGCTCCGCACCATGCAGCATCACGGCTGGGGGCTGCCCTGGCTGAGCACCAGGGAGAGGGGCTCCCGGGGGCCAGGGACTTCCACAGCCTTGGAAAACTTCCAGTGGGAACCCCCCCTCCCAGCCCGGTGGTAGGATTTATCCGTTTTAGTCTAACATAGGCATGTGGAAGGTAGAGTGTTAGGAGATGTTTGTATAGTTGCGCTAGAGCAAAAACCCAGGCTCTTTCAACTTGGGTTATAGACAGAGTGCAGTAGTGCAGTTAAAGCTAGTTTCTCTTCACTGAAGAGAAATGTCACTTCAGCTGCAAGAGTGCACATCAAGTTTTGTAGATAAAATTTCATAAATGGACTTCTTTAGGAATACAGAGGTGCTGTTCCTTCACTGTGACGTTCTCCATGACAATAGAAGGAAACTATTGCAAACTCTGTTTTGCATGATTGTGCTGTATTATGTTGATTACTTTAACCATTTACATTCTTCTCGGATCTATCTTACTTTGTAACCAGTGAGTGTAAAAAAAACAGGTTACTTAGTCCTTTAGATAGTTGACGCAAATAACCACTTAGCTCAACGCATTTCTTGTGAATATAATGGTTCATCCCACCAAATCATATCTGACTTCTTCCAGGTTGCTTCAGAAATACATCAGTATCAAAAGTCTGAGTGCAACATGTTCAGAATTTTGCTGTCAAACCTGGTAGTACAATATCTACTGCTAACAATACAGGAAGCATATTTTGGCTGATATTGTTTATTCCTATGGTCATCAGGGTAATCATGCTCCTCACACAGGCCATGAATACAAAATAATTAAGTAATGCTTTCATGTAAAGGTTTGTTCCTTTCTTCATGTGTAATTAGAGCAGTGCTACTAAGCATTTTAACAATTTGTTTGTTTGTTTAAAGTCTGATGAAGTTACGCTAGCTTTTGTTCTCTTATTTCTTCTCTGACCCTGTCCCTTTGGACAAAAATGAATGAAGAATCCACATTTTTTGGTTTGAAGCACAGTATGACAATTTTCATTGATTAATTCTGTGGTAAGATTGTTTCTTTGTGAGGGGAATAAAATTCCTTACTCTTTTTTTCTTTTTTCTTTTTTTCCTCCCCACAAACTTTGAGTATTTTGCCCTTTTTTCCTGATTTGATTCTAAGGATTAAAAATTTTAGAGGACTGTTAGTTCCATCATCAGAAGGTTAAATGAAATTCTTTTCCTGTAACTTTTCTGAAAAATGTTTACTAGAAGAGTTATATTTCAATGTCTATAGGTAAGATCTATTTAAATGGCCAACAACTTTCATTTGTGAATGGGGAACTTATTTAAATAACTATTTCATAACATTGAGGAAGTGATACATGCTGACCTTTATGCTGGAATAGTTAGAATATTTTATTGATACTGAGGTGGTCAGCTCTTCCTCCATCATCTGCATTATTTTATGCTTTCTATGGAGAATTCTCAAGGCTTGAGAAAAGTTGCAGAGATACTGAATATTTCAAGATGGAGTGATTATTATTGTTCTGTGAAGATTTATTCTGTAATGTATTGTAGACCTGTGTTTTAAGACCTCTTTTTTTTAATTTTGTTTCCCATAGGTTCAAAATGGATAGTACATTCCAGGAAACACCTACACTTGAAGCTTCTTATTCAGAAAATATTGATGCTATGCTGTCCTTTCTGCCTGAAAGACTAAGAAAGAAACTGCTTCCTTTTCAGGAGAAAGGCATCATATTTGCACTTCAGAGAAGTGGCAGGTAAAATCCTTATTGTGTCGTATGTTAAAAATAATTATTTTAGGTAAACATAAATTCATTTTTACAAAGGCTGTGCAATATCAGCAGCTTCTAGGTGGTGAGTTATGTTACAGAAATCTTTAGTAAAATTTAAAATAATGTGGTTTAAAATGAGGAGTTGTTTTGTTTTTTCCCCAAAGGATGATGAAATGTTTAATAATGCATTATGCAAAAGAGGACTGTAGTATCAAAGATCTCCTTATGTTAGAGGAGGTTGATATCAGTAGGACCATCCTTTTTGTCATGTTAATAGAGAATTCTTAAAATAAGTTAATTCACATTTGTTTCTTTAGTTCTTAATGGCATGGTAGAGCTGTTAAGAGAATGACTAACAGATCTTGATGCATCTGTGTGGTATTCTATTTTAAACTCGGTACAATTCTGGCATGTAATCAGGGTGTTCTGGGTGTTCTGGAGCTCAGTGAGCGACAGCTGAGCTGAAGGAGCCTTACAGAGTGCTCGGTTAGCAAGTGCAGCCGCTGATAGAGTAAGCATTCAACAATTAAGTACCTGATAAATCAGAAAAATAGTTTATGCATCAGAGACTGGAAATATTTTGCTGAGTAAGAGTCTGTTACTTAGTTATAGGAGCAGAGAAGAGGGAGGGGGACGCTATCTCCCCATTTATAAAATTTAGAAAATTTAGGCAGTTGCAACCTAAAGCCATGAAATACTGTATGTTCTTTTGGAAAGTAATGAGAGTCTGGCACAAATGAAATTATTTTAGCTTAGGTTTTAAAGAAGGATGAAGTTAATTTCTGATCATTTCATCATGTTGCTCAGAACAAGAAGCTTAGGGTCTTAGAGGTTGCTTGCTAATGTTTGTGATTTTTTTATAGGAGAAATTAAATGTGCATCTGTCTCTCTAAATGTGAAAAATCGGGAAGGAAATGTTTATCATCAGTTCTTGCAATTTTATGGAACTTCTGATCAATTAAAATTTCCTCTGAGGTTTTTCACTTTAATTCTATTCCTTTGGCCAAAAACTTCAGCAATTATAACATTGCCGTCTTCAAGGAACGAAGCAAGTAATCTATTTTATGCTGCTAGGGTAGGCAGCAGAGTATAAAGAGGAGCCATTAATGTGCAAGCCTCAGATTTGAAAATCTTTATGCTGTATTGGCATTAACTTCCATGTGTCCACTGGTCATCTTAGGTACTTTTCAGCTCTACAGTGTGACTGCGAGAATGAACGCATACAGTTTTAAGAGATCACTAAGACTTTGATAGAATAGACGGCAAAGTCTACATTAGAGTTGAATTTAATGAATCCAAAGCCCTTGGCTACCATATCTCAGTTGATCTGACTCTAGTAAGGGGAAATGAGGTTTGTATAGTAAGCAACTGAGATACATTTGTATATACAAATAGTGAAATAACAGAAGCCATTAGATGTGTATAGTTTCTTTAGTGATAATTAGCGTAGGCTAGTTTATTTGAAAGTAGCATAATCTTTTGCAGCCAATTATATAATATAGCAGTTCCTCAGGAAGCAGCTTAACTGTAGTACTAGATAAATTTTAATCAGATATTTCTTTCTTCTTTTTGTTTGCGAAGTAACCTAAGCTAATGACTCTCTGCCAAGGAGAGAATAATATTATTTTCGTTGGGGTTATGGAGTTTATGTTGTTTTCTTTTCTTGAAACCCTTCACTAACAAAAGACTGTTGAGTTATATGGCACTGACGATTTTAGTGTTGCATACATTTGAAAGTATTTTCATCATGATTGCAAGAAATTCCTTGGCATAGCAAATTCTATATGTTAGCTGGATCAAATTGAGAAATTGTATGTACTCTCTCAGCCAGCCTCTATATAAAGTAAAATGTATTAAGTCAATGTTTCCTGAGGAGTATTTTTTTGAATCTGTCCCTTGCTCAGGCAGATCTAATTTTCTTTCAGTCCCAAAACAGAGAACAGGAGCCTCTGCTGCTTGTAGCTGAATTTTCTTATTAGTTTGTCAGCCCTTGGCTCACCCAAGTCTTTTCCTCTCGTGTACTCTGTAATGATTTAATCCTTCTTTCGGTATTCCCAGTGGTATATTTTATCAGGATCTGGTACTTTTCTATAAAAGTGTCTTTTCTAGCTTTAAAAATATATAAACATAGGACTTGAAGTAAGCTGTATGTGCATCTCAGCTCTTCTTTCCCTCAGGCTATGCACTCCCTTCACAGTCATCACTTAATCTGTGCTTTACTGTAGTGGCAGGAAACTGATCTAGAGAAAGTGCTCTATTGTTGGCTGAAGAGATTCAGTTAATATTGTTTTAGGTTAGACAAGCACCCAGCATGAAAAGGGACTTCTTATTAGAAGAAACTTTTATTTCTTGCATAAAAGGCGCTGGGAGTAAGCTATTAATTCCTTTGTCTTTTCCTGTAGCGTTAAATAAATATGCTGCTGTGATTTGTGTTTTGATTCGTTAGTAAATGAATCAACGGCTTTTTCAGTAGATGCACCAAAGGCATCGTCTGGACTAACAGAAACTGCCTAACACTTTTCTAGGACATAGTAATTCTAGAGCCAACGAGGCAGTGCATAGTTCAACATAATGCTAAGATACCATTTAGCTCACAGACATGCCTTAAAGGTAAATAACTGCGTGGCTGCTTAGTCCTTACCAGAGATCATTCTTCAGCACTGCACCTGGGAATAGGTACCTAGGCACGGAAATGATGTTTGGTCTTTATTTATAGCCTCAAACATTAATGTGCAGAAAAGATCGGTGCACACAAATTCTGTCCTTGAAAACTATTTTGTTTTTATGCTTTTCTTTCAGGAAAGGTGTAAGTTACTTTTAAAAACAGCATTAATATTTATTTATTTATTTATATGTGCTTTAAGCTGTTTCTTAAATAGAAAGTAACAACTTGTCCTTCCAGGAACATAAACTCTTTTATCAGTGGGCTTAGGAAATATTTAGGGTTACTAGGGTCAGTTGTGTGTACACTGTTGGGAGGTGGAGGTGAGCAGTTCTCTCTGCTCTTTGCTAGTTATTAGTCATAATTTGGGCAGATGTGGACAAGCCCCCATTTCTTAAGAGCTCAGGGTAACCTTATCGCAAGTGAAGAGGCATAAACTGAAAATGTTAAAGATGTCATCTTGCTTACTGGGCTTAGTTGTTTTGAGCAACAGAGTGTCATTTTCAGGCCTATTTTATTCTTCCATGTAAAATCTATGACGTATGGAGGAGGAGGCTGACTTGAGAACAAAGGCCTAAACAATACTAAGAAGTCACCAGCCAATGGTCAGGTGTTAGTGAAGAGAAGGGGGCACTGTCAAAACACAATACTCTGGAAAAAATGGTATATGTTTGGGCAAAATATCCAAGATGCAGGGATATGTAGGCAAATGGCTTGACTGTACTGATAAGGATTGTATTCAACCTCTTTTGAGGCCACATCTCTCTTTGAATATTAATAATTTTTACTGTTGCTACTCACTAACATAGTACTTAGAAAGTCACAGTTACTTTCTTCCATGTCTTGTTTTATATTCGCTCTTTATAGAAGTGTGTGATGTCGGTCTTGTATTACAAACAATTTGCTCACCTGAATATACTGTAAAAGTCGGAGGCATGCTATTGTTTGAAAGTTAGATTACTTGCTACTGGGTAACATGTACAACCTGTATCACTAAATGCTTCGTCAGGTTTTATAATAAAAACTGTCAGCATGTGATTTGCAAACATCATTCTTTATCATTGCTTGCCTTGTGAAAGCATCTGAAAAAGATGCCTTCAGATGCGCAGATATCTTTTCTTCCTAGAAATGTTGGCAGAACAATTTGTTTAAGCTATCATGCCTGTGGATGCAAAAGAGGATTTGGAGATATTTACCACTCGTTAAATGAGCTTTTCCATGATAATTGTATGCTCCAGCCATTTCACTAGAGTAGTTTCCTGCGGTGTTTTCTTCTCACGTTCTTACATAAGATTCAAGTGTATTAACATTGTAACTTCTATTTTCTGGCAAAAAAAAAAAAAAAAAGATATAAATTTAACTAAATACTGAAATGTTTATTGGTACATATGTCAGGTTCTGTATTTTACTCCAGTGTTGATTTATAGATACTTTTTGTTTTTTAAAGGTAATACATTAACTGATATTTTATGTTCTAGAGCGTGTGTTTTCCAGTTTCCCATACATGCTGGCTCAATGTTGTTTATTGAGTATAGACATAGTAAAAAAAAAAAGGTAAATGACAATGGATGGTAGTAACATGATAAGCAGAGTTCATACCTGGCATTAAGAACTATCAGTTTTAATGAAAGGGTATTTGTTTTGTTAGGTAGTCATTTTCTAGAGTAAGAAAAACTTGCAGAGTATTTAACATTTTGGGTAGTAGGCTACAGAAAATCATTATGATAGTGAGCACGTAGGGGACATTCCCACTCCCTTCTCTTATAGCGAGTGAGTTGCCTGCTCTTCAAAACAGTACTTTTTTTCCCACTGACTGTGTGTCTGATCTCTATCAAGCTACACAGGAGAAACACATAGTTAATTCTTCATTAATTAAAACAGATTTTTAGTTCACCGACTTTATCAGTCTTCACAGAAATTAATTCCCCCTTCCCACCCTCAAAGTAGACCAGAAAAACAGAAACTCAAATCAAAATTTCCTCAGAGTTTATGAAAACAGCTAAAGGGTTCTAGCTCCAGTTCCTCACCTGAAAGGTAGAGTATATACAGTCTGCTGAGGTTTTAGTTGTTGAGTCATAGAAATGATAACTATTGGGCAGGAAGCAAATTGAAATATTTAGAATTCCAAGGCACAGTATAAGTCTTTGTAGGGCCAGGGATTTCTAGTATAAGTTGTATTTAAATTCTTGGGCAAATTTCTATACAAATTTTAACATTCTAGGATGGGAGTAGGAAGGAGTGATGAGAATGTGCCGAAATTGAGTGTAGATATCTGTGCATTACAGTAGAGAAACATTTTTTTTCGCCTTGAAATTCAAAATTG